GTGCGAGTAGCTCTTGGCACGTCATCGCCTCGCTGCCCCCAAGCTCGGCCTGAAAATGTAAACAATGCGAGGTGGACCAAGACGAGGCTTAATAGTTCGATCAGCCTTTTAGATTTTTATTAATCCGCCATGTACCGGATGAGCAGCCTACGCCAAAAGTACCGCGCATCTATTTCCGAATTTCGCTTCTTTCACTTCGCTCACTCATTAATTATCCAACAGCTAAGCGTAATTAATAGTCGCTGCGATGCTAACCCCCCTCCCCTTTACTCTTACCTTTGATTAATTATTAATTCTGATTTTCTGAACAAGTATGGCATTTTGAAGAGAATAATTTTCCCATAAGTAAGCTTTGTATTTATGAATTATCTATTTTTAAGGAGTCTCATTTTTGACAATGATTCTAGTGAAAAAACAGCGTTTGACAATCGATTGTCAAATTTACCTGATATTTAAACATCAATAATTAGTTGAAGAACCATTAATAGATTAATTAATAAATAGGAATTTATCTATAATTATTTATATATATATATATATAACGTATCTTTATTTAGAATATTATTTTAATAATATTTACTTTATGGATATTCACACTAATCAAATGTCATCAAAAATAAAAATAATAGGTGAACGCTTCATCATTTTTTAAAAATTGTAATATATTCGATTAAACACATTTACTATTTCACATCAAGAATAAATAGAAAATTAATAGATCAAAATGTCTTCACTCTAGTTATTAAATAAATTCTCTACACGATATAATATAATCTTAATTTTAAGATATAAATATATATTAAAATACATAAAGAAGGAAGCAAGGTACAGACGTTCCACTCAAATTTTTGTGTTGCAGTGAGTGAACTACTGATGAAAGTATGCGAATTCATGAAATTTTGAAATTCCTGTGATGGGTGCTTCGTATTTTATTCATATAGACATATATATATATATATATATATATATATATATATATATATATATATATGTGTGTGTGCACATAAATTTGCAATAAACGTGAAATGGATTCATAGAACGAAAAGAAGGAAAGTATTGATTTTAATTCACATTTTTTTACTTCAAGTAGGTTCAACTGGTCATCTGTTAAAAAAATTAATACCGACGCCTTTATTTTACAAGCAAATAGCAGGCTAATAAAATGTAATAAAATAGAAAGTAGTATGTGATAAAAATAAAAAAATTAAAAAATTAAGTTGTTTACATATAATATACTTCATGTATGTGGAAAAAAATTTTCATTTAAAAGATATAAAAATAATCTAAAATTTAATGAAATTATAAAATATCATGAAATAATTGTCATAAGAAAGGTAAAACATAAACGTATATAGTACACTAAATTAACTCGAAAATTCGAATGGAGCGTCTGAAGAGTATATAAACAATATCATGCATTAAATAGAATAATAGTAATTTATTGTGCAAAATATAAAATTATAAAGTATAAAATTTTCTTACAGTGTAAGTAAATAGATATAGAAAGATATAGAAAATTGATTGAAAAGCGAAAGTATTAAAATTACAAAATTCGAAATAGACATGTAAGAAACACCAAATTATTAAAAATAATCAAAGAAAATACTGTTTCTTTAACCCTTTCATATTTCCAAATTATAAAAAATAATTAAAAATTCTGTTTGGATGACTGTTGAATAAATGGTCAATATATTTGATGTCTCCGATTGCGGTGAAAGGACCGATTTGCGCGTAAACAATAATTATTCATCAACTTATCACTATTGGTTGGCGTCGACACAATTTCAATGCGCGAAAACTACACGCGAGACTGCGGTGTTTGCAGATATTCAAAGATTCGCCGTGCAAGTTCTGCATGCCGTCGAACAGTATGTAATGCATTATGAGCAGTCGACATGATCCGCGATTCACTGGTCGGGGGCGGGTGGCTGCTTATAAAAAACCGAGGCTTCCAAAATGAAAGGGTTAAAAAAGTCGAACATACTTGTACGTTATTAGGCTGTGGCGCCGACCAGACATTGCCATCGCCGGTTTGGGTCATTTTCTCGCTGGAGCAAACGTTTCGCTCGCCGGCCATTCCGATCGAGCCGGGCAACGTATTAACGCTACGGCCATGAAGGAGAATCACGTCGCTGAACATGACGCTACTGCGCCGGCGATGATGAATGCAAGGTGGACTCAAAAGCGCGCTGTGCGTCTGTAGCACGACAAGAATTTTCACTCCCTTTCTGTCATTAAGTGGCATTGCAGTGTTGGGGAGTGAATGGATGGATATTAATTGTGACGCGGCAGTGCAGCGACCCATTTCCATAATCTTTCATTCAGCGTGATCGTTTTAAGGCATTGACTGGCACATTGACGCGCTTTTACACGACAGAACATCCCTGGCTCTTCCATCTTAAAATACCATTCGGACTAACACGAAAATTTGAGTAGATCGTGTGTGGATGCTGTGATTCGGAAGAAAGGCATTGTAGAACTATAAATCAATGTCCGCTTGAAGTTTTAACCTGATTTACCGAGTCAAATATTTTCTACTCGATATGCGTGCGTGCGTACGTGCGTGTGTGTGGGTGTATATGCCTGTGTGGCGTGCAATATTTGACCACCGCATTTTATTCATGTGATATTGATTTACATTCATTCGTCAATAAGTGGGAATAATTATTATAACAATATCATGCACTAAAATGCAGTTAACATGAATTTTCATTTTTATATTCTTACAGCACTTGAGATTTTATGCTCTCGGCTAAATTAACACGTTAATATCGTGAACAATCGTTTGGTATATATTTATTTATAAGCATTCATCGTATTTCATGTTATGCTAAAAACTCTATTTTTATTCAATGTCATATTTGAACGATTTCTCAACAAAAAAAAAAAAAAAAAAAAAAGCTCCACGTAAAGCACATTACTTTCAGTGTCGATGACAACTAAATTTGACTATCGATAATAATTTTTATCGGTGCCATGATACAAAACTCACCTTTGTATGTCTAAAATTCATAATTATTACAATCGTGATAAAACGTACGATGTAGTACGTGTGTGCTCAAATACGTTATTGCAAATTATTTTACAAGTATAAGAAGCGGTGCTTCGATCGTATATTCTCTCATCAACAATTAACATTTCTTTAATAAGAAATAGCATCAGTGGCTGGATAGAACGATTATGTGTACGACTTTTGTTCTAGGAATGCGGTATCAAGTGTTAACTTTAGAACTTATCAATGTGCAAACTATCGACTATGAAATACCAATGCCCTTTTATGTCTAAGTAGTCTCGTTAGCACGAATTATTCGGAAATTTGTTGAAAATCCCCATTCATGTCTTATATCTCTGCTTATATTACTTTCAATTCTATTCAATCTACCATTAGCTTGCATTAGTGAATTTTTTTAACATATTGAAGGACAATAAAAGCAAATAAGAAAAAATTCAAAAAAACTTTCCCCTTTCAAAGCCAAAAACACTCATACACAGAATATACTTAAATGTGCTTTAACAAGACCTTGAACGAATAATATTGATCTTAATATGAATCCGCATCCCAAGAGCTTTTTTCGTCGCCAATACGACGAATGCTTATTATAGCATAATTACTTGAATAATGATAAGATTTGTAAAAACAAGATCGAGTAAAAGGAATAGAATGGAACGCCGTTTTCCAAAATACTACCGCGACACTTTCTATTACCGTTGTGCATGACGAATGCCATTGCCCGTAGGAAACTGAAGGATCTAATGACGTTAATGACATCTTCGGCAATATCGTCAATAGGCCCCGGCGAAGCTTTTTGAAATTCTTGTTAACGCATAATTAGGAGAAAGAGAGCGTGATCTCTGGGATAAATATCAGAAGACAGCGGGGCGGGAAGCTGCTAATCAGTCGGGCGGTTAGTCGAGTATGGCACTGTCATGTGAGGAGCTGAGGAGCTCGAGCGTGAGAGGAGGGAACGAACCTCCGTGGCGTTGACGTTGTTGTCACTGCCGTTGAAGAGAGAGACGTTACGGTGGAGACTCGAGCGCTGCTGGTACTGGTTTATCGAGAACTCGGTCTCGGATACCTCGGGGCTGGCGCGCGGGGCGAGACTCGATCCCATGATGCCGCTGCCTCCGCCTAAGCCGCTTACTCTCGCAAACTCCCCGTTGCCGCTGCCGACCTGCTCGGACTCTTGGGCGGCCAGTAGCCGGGGACATTGGCTGTGGTGCAGCTTTCCATCTGCACATCGAACTTTCATAGGAGTCCCATGTACTATTTGCTCTTTTATTGCACTTTCGTCTCTACATCATGTGTTTACGCGGCTCCCAGTGGGAAAGCGAACGATCAGTAATACAAGCGATAATGTAACGCGTCGATCATTTGGGAGATTGCTCGTGACGTATAAATTTCAAATAGATCGATTGCTTTCAAGGTTTTAGATGTAAATTGAGGCTCCATGGGCGATATTGTCACATTAAAGCGATCAAAGCCGACATGGAGATACGTAACCGAGTAACACCTTCGCCTCATATCCATACGTCCGCAGCTCGATTTCCGTAGGACCTTATATATCATCGATCCTTTATATTTTAATTTCCGATGATGTTTCAAAAATAGAAATATTTGATAATGTATTGTGCAACATTTGCATGAATAAGAAAGTTTCAATATACCGTTAAATTACGTTAGCCAAGGCTTGTAAAGTAAAATTCAGAATTTCCAATACTCTGAATGTCAGCAAATATCATTCGGGCAGCAAGTTACTTGTAAATTCATTAATTAAAGATATATTCTAATGACTATTTATCAATGACTCGAGGCTCAATATTGAATTTTTTTTTTTTTTCGCAAATTATTAAGCTTACATGGAACAAATGGCAACTGAATATATGATTCTCTTTAAAGGATAATTTACAAATGTAGACGTCAAGCCATTTTGGTGCGATAATTTCCCCATATTCTCAATAGTAGAAAAATATGCAAAATTTGGAAATAAAGTGTGATCTAGTACGGTATATCACGGCCTATATCCATAGGATATTTAAAAATTTAGATGCAAATGTTCATATCGATGTTCTCGAGCAAAAAAACTAACACAGGCTAGGCAAAATGAATACATCTGCAATTGATGCTATGATACTGCTTTTCACGAAAAAGTATACCAATACATTTTTACGAAAATTTTACGAAAGATAAAAATAATCATACTGTATGGTTATATATTTATGTTACTATTCATATTATAATATTTGCACAATTATATTTTAAATAATTATACAAAATTCGTGCAATTAATATGATGATAAGATTCATTGATGATTAAATATTTTGTATCCATTTATCACCGATATCATCCGCATATAAAATCTGTGAAATCGATATTCTTTTAAAATATATATTATTATTTTGTAACATATGTATTTGTAGTTTTTATATCACTCAAGCCAAATACATAATTTCTTTCACGAATAATGAAATTTGAATATTATTCCTTTAACTGATAACATTAGATTTGAAAATATTATGTAATTTATTGTTTGACTTGAATTAAAATTTGATTTTGCAACAAAAATTAAATATGTTGATCATCTAGTGTTGAACTATGAAGATAGATTATAGTGAATTACTCATTCCAATGTATTGATTCGCATATTTCCAATCAAGCGTAAGTTTAAATTTAATTTAACGTATTTTATTTAATAAAATCACAAAGATTCGTTTTGTGTAATAAATGTAAAGCAATGTATTTATTATATAATTTCATTCGAATTCATCATTTGTAAATTATTTTTTAACAAAGTGGCATGTAAATTTAATATATATTTAATATATATTTAATATTTAATATATTTGTAATATATTTTAAACTATATTTTTAAAAACTTACCCAATAATCTTGTCGATCTTACAATATTAGTTCGTACTTGGCCATGAGAATCTTTTAACAAACTTTGCTCTCGTTTTTGTTGCCTACTATACAAAAACAATCGATACTTTTTCATTAATCTTCGTTTCCCTCGTCTCCAAAGGTGTGCAATATATCTATAAAATTGAAAAAAAATTTAACAAAATATGTAATCATAAATTGTGAAAGTTAGTAGATTATTGGAATACTTATCAAGTATTAAATTCTTGATATATTTGTTATTTACATTATTGTTGTATTTATTTAAAGTCGCATTCTTAATAATCTAATTAAATTAGTAGCTATAATATATTACATTTAATTAGTAAGTATATTGTTATATATATAAAAATTGTTAAGTAAATAAAAATTTGAAGTAAACATTTATTCTAAATCATAATTAGGCTATTGTGCTGATATATACTTTAATAATTAATTATTATAAGGATAAATATGTAATAAAAATAAAGAAATAATAGAAATATCTACGTAATTATAGATTTGAATTGCAATGTATGCATGTTTTATTAGTCAACGAAGCGCACAAAGCTTCTCAATAAACAATTATTTTTAAAATAATGTATAATTTATTGAAATACGAAAATATACTACAATTTTTATATTAATTATGATAAAAATACCATTAGATTTATATATGTAACATAATAAATAATTTCGATGAAATTTTAGTTATAATAGTTTAACTCAGTTTTGATCAAAATTTCGCATTATTAATTTTTTCATTGTTAATATTTCGTGGATAGGAATTTTTTATGTCCTTATAACGTGAAAAGCTTAATCTATGGCTATTAGATTATGAAATATTTATTAAAATTATGCATCACGTAAGTACTAAACTGGTCTTATCTATTTTTTAATAATATAAAACTGACATGACTGTTTTTCTTTTTATTTTAAAAATAAATTGTCGAAATACTTATAAAAACACTTTTGCCTCTTTAAGATAGTAAATTAGACGTATTTTATTATAATTAATTGCACACGTAGTATAACTTATAAATCATAGATAACACAACATATTGGTATCATAATGATTTGACCAAACATTTAAATATCATATGTATATGAATCATTTCAATTTATATTAAAAAACTGTATGATTTATTCTGTATTGAAGTTAAATGTAATATTTTCTTTGTGTAATAAAATATAATCTTTCTGTATTTTGTAAAAAAAAAAAAAAAAAAATTAAAGACTTCGCCACCTGCCAGAGCTACTTTTAAGTAGAAAATATTTTATATCATTTAGTATGAAGTATCATCTAAAACAAGACAGGTCTGACCTAAATTTTCATAATAATTATCAAGTGGATCGATGAATTTCTTACGCATGGCTAACACATACACATAAATTTTAGTTTTTATGTTAAATTTTTTAAAAAGTATACGAAATTTTCAACATTATTTTGATTCTATATAACTAACATCTGTTTCTCATTTAAAATGCAATTTTAATTATTTGAATTATGTATCATCTCTGGGTTTTTACATGTCATAATAATAAAAATGCTTTTAAATAATAATGAAAATTATTAAAAGTGGGACGACGTTTTATGCAGAAAAAATCTCGAAAGATTATAGAATTTAGCGAGTTTCATTTAATAATTGATATAACCAAAGTATTAACAAAGAGATTAAATTTTATTTATATATCTATACGGCTTGAAACGTTGTATTTTAAATTAAAATTGAGTATTATTACCAATTTATTTATAAAGAAAATGATTTTTGTGAATCTTAGTGATATTTTAAAATAATTTCAATTTTCTTGATTAATAGATTAATAATTCGAATAATCGTGATGATAATATCGAAAATTTCTTATAACATATGACAGCATTCTAAAGTAGAATAATAATATTTACGATTTCAGCAAAATAGTATATATAATAGTATGATAATAAGTTTCTTATAATACAACATAATATTTTAAACTACGATTTATGTCAATTAAAGAATAACAATGATGGTTTATATGCACAATAAATATAATAAAATTTCATACTGTAAATAAAACAGCAGAATGTATAATTTTCTTTATTACGTGTAGTAAAATATAGATCTAAAATCAGCAAGTGCTGGACATTGTGCTTTCGAAAAAAAAGAAATTTCAACGGGCCGTTATTTAATTCGCCATTTTGATAAATAGAGTATTGGGCTTTGAATAGACTCGATTAAACAATAAAAACGCCAGCGATTAAGAATCCATTAATAAATTTTCAGAATAACTCATTGTATTGTCTCAATTATCGTAAGTGAAATCGTTGACATGCCACTTAACGTTGATATATAGAAAAGAATAACGTTTCATGCGGGGATTTCCTGTCTTTCGGACTAGTAGGCTCCCCTCACTTTATCCAAAAGCGCACAAAGATAGTTGGCATTCACTATCTTGCGCTTATGAAAAAATCAATATGTACGACCTCTTTGTGATTGGAGCAACGGCTGCACTTTACCACCCAACAATCGAGCCTTCATAAGTCGCAATTCAATACGCATTCACGTCCACTCGCAAACCTTCTGTGTCGTCCATGTGCTTGAGTTCTCAATAATGTTTTACAACTGAATTGCCATTTTAATTGTAGAATTTCACTTGGTTTTACGCCTTATTTGAGAGAAAGCCATTAGTAATGAAATGAGTAACCGAAGCTCTTATTGCTCGCTCATTCTTTACGAAACGAGCATTTAGAGGGGGCACGCGTGAAATCGAATGAACTTAACAACACCTACTTGGACCTCCGATTAAATAGACTCATTTAGCTCATTTAATTATAAAAGCGGCAACGGTGCTCTGCATCGAGCTAATTTGTGTATTTGACAAGAATCAAGCAACATTGGTAATGTCGAGCACAGAATATTCGTAATTGGCATGGCAATTATTATGGATAAGATTAACTTAAATTCTCCGATAATATATGCCACACTATTAAATTGATTACTATTGATAATTGTATTGTATTACAACTCTTAATGAATAATAGGTAGCTTATTTTCTTAATTGGCCTTCACATCACAATATTTGTACAGCTTGATCATTACGTGACACAATAGAGATGCGAAACTGCAAATTACTTACTTGACAATCTCTGCGTAACACGTGGTTGGCTCTGACGTGTTAGTAGAAGAAGCAAGAGTACTGGTGGAATGGAATCGAGCCCGCTCCAAACGCATCCTCTCCATTTCTCGCTTCTTCGTCTCCGAGAATTGAGTGGCTATTACCACTAGGCAGAGGTTGATCATGAAAAAGGAACCGATCTATAACAGAAGAAAAGGAATTTAGCCGCTAGTAACGATACCTCACTCTATCTTACGAATCTACTCTGAAAATGAGTCTTCATTTTCAATAATATACCCGGTCCATGTAATTTTTATAGCTTATTAATTTTATTTTCCGATGATATGCGAGTCTGCTTGAAATTGCTCTTCATACTTTCTTCTATTATAATACCAGATATTCCTATTTTCTAACATTTACGTAAATAATATTATAATTGGACATATTTCTTTAAACTAGAATTCTGCTCTGAACTTTTTTACACTTTGCGTAGATTATAAGCAATGCGTGTATTAAACTAAAAGTAGATTACTTTTATTTAAGTTGAATACAATATTTATAGTATGTACGATTATATGTATAAAATAAAATATTTACTTTTATCATCCAATCAAGTTATTTCTTCTTTTTCTAATAAAATTTTTCCATAATATTCCATACTTTTTAATAATCTAATTATCTATAACCAATTACTTTATATTAAAATTGGTAAAAGATAAAAATTATATATACTACGTTTTTATATTCGTATAATATGTATTTACTAGAATTATATTACTATGTATAAAGAGCAATTTTTATTATTAATAACTTGTACATTGTTCTAGATTGAAGGTATTCAAAGATTTATTTGAAAAATATTAAATTTACATACATCTTTTATAAGCCTTCTTTTATTTATATAAACAAATTAATATTGTATTTAAAGAGCATCAAATTAAGTTTCAACTTACTACGATCAATAGAACAAAATAAATCCAGTCCCAGAAGGAATGAGCGTCTTGCACGTAGTACATTATGTCCGTCCATCCTTCCAGACTAATCACCTGTACAAATGAAAAACGTGATTTATCAGAAAAGAACGAGTACCGAAGGCGCTTAGAAAGTCAAAATAATTGTTCTTAACCTTGAACGAGAAGCGAAAGATCTTTAAAAATTCTCCTAACTTGTTCGATTAAAAAAAAAAAAAAAAAAAAAAAAAAAAAAAAAAAGAAGAGAAAATAATAATGATAACTCTGTTTGCGAACTTACGAGAAATATGGCTACCCAAGCAAGGCCAATATTATCGAAAGATATTGTGCCTTGGAAAGGGTTATTGCCTTGGCCTTTACATTCCGTGTAATAGTAATTCCAGTTGACACACGAATCGTTGCTGATTAACGTCGCGTTATTGTTCGGCAGTGCTCTGTGTTCGCACTCCAAGTTACCTACGCATAAATGTATTTTAGATCACTATCGTAATGATACATTTTCCTCCTTTTTTTTCTGATTTTGTTCATTACATAACAATACTAATGTTGTTTAGCTACAAAATCGTTTATATTTGAGCATTTTTAAAAGAATAATAATTTTAAGGAAGGTAAAAACGAACGAATAATACAAAATACACGTATTATAAAAGATATTATAAAATATCCTCATAAAGTATGATTCGGTAAATGAATATTTTCCAAAGTTACATTATACTCTATTATACCATTGTTTTTAAAAAATATTGATTGCCTTAATCATAGACACTCAAGTATTTTGAATAAATTTACAAGATAAATGTACAATTTTTACAAGACAGTCTCCTGTGCAATATTGTATATTGATAGGTTTTAAGTAAAATTTTTATAGCTAGCATTGACGATTGTTTGGAAAAATGGAGAAGTAAAAGCACATAGATAAATATAAAGGTTAAAATTGAAGCAAAAATAAGTTAAGCGAACCTTACCAATAAACATGAAATAAAAAGATAAAAATAACACTACAGTAAATGATTAGAGCCATAAATGAAAATACTCAAAACACTTGCCGATCTTGAGGGGCGGCAAATTGCTGCAACTGTGCATACCGCTATCGTCCGGCCTCGAGCAGATGTAATCTTGGCCCTGGTACTCGAAGTACTTTTCCAGGTCGCTGCAAGTGCAAAATTCGCGAACATTAATGTAACGGCGATGCCATTTCCATTCATATAGTACTCTTTCAACGTCGCAAGGCAACATGGCATTTGAGTATCTGTGCATATGTAGGTGTTTATATGCGCGTGAGCGTCTGTGTGTTTTTCTATATACATGTATATATATATATATATATATATATATATATATATATATATACGTATTTATAGATTAGGTGTATATGTGCTTGCGTCTGTGCGTGTGAATATAGACGGATGCACTTGGTTTCATTGCATGCTACGATATATATATATCGAATGATGTATGTACGAGTTAATATGATCATGTGCACGTTCGACAAGGTACAGTGAAAAGTGGTTCGTTCATAGGCAAGATCTAGTGAATGATGTATTGACACATATGTACATTATATATTACGTGCTTGAGATGCTGAACGAATGACAAACAATGATATCCCGGCTTTTATCACTGTCTAACCGAAAAATATATCATTAGTAATTCTTTTTGTTGCATGTTTGTTCTTACATGTTTTAAGAGCTGCTCATTGTTTGTGATGGTACGAATAATTTAATGAATTAAGATAGTCATTTTCTAATTTAAATTATATTATTTAATTCTGATAATGTGATGTTGAAATTTAATATTTATTTTCTACTATGCAAAATCTTCACATCTTATACTTATCTACTGAACTAATGCTTTCGTGCAATAGTGATATATATTTCTAACCTACATATGTATATTTAAAAACAATTTTAAATTATTACTATAATATTAAACATAATTAAGAATTAAAATTCTTATCTTTAATTACATGGCATTGTTATCAGGCAATGTTTACAGTTGCAATATGAAATAATAGTCATTGCTTCCTTTCTGTTTTAGCAATGCCTTGGTATTTAATGGAAATTTTGTCGTCTTTTTATAATCATTCACTTTTAACTGAAACTTATTTATTTTTTATACTATATACATTGAAGAAAAAAAATTTTATATTATGTATTTTATATTATGTTAAAATAAATTAATTATATTTTTAATAAAATAACATAATGCGTTCAATCAATCATTATTTAAAAACTATAAGCGAATGAGTAATTTAATAATATTAAATGATCATGAAATATTTATTTTCAAAATTTAACGTCTTACAGATATTCTATGAATGATATTTTCATTTATAAACTTTCTTACTCAATCATCTAAATTTAAGCACGAATGGCGTGGTGCTTTTGGAGTATTATGAAAAAAGCATTTGTGAAAAAGAAAAGAAGTAATAAGGATGTTCTCGCGCACAGTACCTGAGCCCCACACAGAGATTTGACTCGCGATCTTACCGAGAGAAGAAAATCTCAATTTATTAATTACAATTAATAATTCGGAACTCTCGATGGGATTAATGTGAATAATAATAATGGCTGTTGACCAATTACGATAATATTATAACCAGCAGATCATAAGCTGTTTTACAAAAAAATTTATATATTGTATTACTAATATTAAACTATATTTGAATAATATAAGAGTGAATAATTGCCTTTACAATCTTGAAACAATGATTTGATACTGTTTAAAACTAAGAATTTTTAGTTTTTATAATAAATCTTACTCCATAAAAATGGCATATTTTCTTTAAAATATTCTTCTTTAAAATTAAATTAAGATAAATTTAAGAGACAAGGCAACAAAAGCTCTACTAACTTTATAATTGAATTGGCAATTATTACGAATAATAACTAAAGCTTTCGTATTATTAAAACTTGATATTTCAGATCAATAATTATTCACAGCATCATCATTACCGTTCATTTAAACTCAAAAATTCCACAGAAAGTTATCGTCACGGTTATTTCAAGCAATTATTTACGAATATATTGTATGTGAATAAGAAAAAAGAAATGGTTGCTTAGTTTTGTAATACAGTTTTGAATTGATGAAACAAAGCCTCGGTCTTGCTATGGCATAGTAGTGCGGCTAGTCATTGCAACCAATGTGACAGTAATTACGCGTCCCGTCTTTGTCTATTTACACGCGCGAGTGTTTGTGATTTTGCGTCGCTCGCCATTTCCTTCCATCCCAGAAGCCTTTGAGATAGACGCCCGATGCATTCCATTAGCGGTAACACTTTGAAGGCGAGGCGCCTTTCAGTACAAAAGTACAAAAGTGGGACGTAAAATTTTAGCCTTTCATATGCTCGACCGTAACCCCTGCAGGCAAGATCCGTCAACTTTACAGACTCCAACGACGTGTTCAATCTTCTTTAAAGCTTAGCGAATACCTTTTCGTATCATAGTTACGACCATTTTTGCTGCTTGACATTAGTAACCTAGTACGTCCACACCGCTAGATACTCGATTTTTGCTCTTCGCAGTTTATCCACTCGTTATTTATGCTATTTTTCTTATCGCTCGATTACGCGACATGTCAAATGACTAGATTAATGAAATCGAGTGCAATGCAATGTAAGCAAGATATTGGCTATTTCATTACTCTCTTGGATAACGCGGATAACACGGATGCACAGAGTACTTTATCCTATTACAACAAAATGCAGGTGAACCAGAGTAATAATTAAATATAAACATGGCATTACCGAGCCTCGTGCTCGCAAATAGCATCTCAACTTCCATTTCGAGCTTATATATCGATCATTTCCTGCCCGATCGCGAACGATTATAGTGCCAAAACTATTACGATCATACTTCGGCACCATATTCCTCCGACAGAGACGTGGACAATGCGCGCTCGACGATCCCTCCCCTACCGAGACTTTTCGATTAAATGGATTCGCAAGTGTCGCTTAATATTGTGGGTTTCGCCTTATCCACATGAAATAAAATGCTTTGTGAAAACTGTGTGGATGCGACGTATGCGATTTGTTCTCGGATCAGTCGTTTTGGAGATTGGTTATTTTAACCGCCCGTAAATGAAATAAGATTTTTTTTTCCTTTAAATCGAGGGGATGCCAATAAAAAGGAATTCGATCGGTATCCGGTAATGTTAGGTCATTATTAAGCAAATTAAACTCTTAATATTAAATACTGTTTGCGTTAGAATTTTATCCTATAATTTCGATCACGGCTTATCTTAATGCTTATCCATATTGCAATAAGGAATCACAAATATTTGTAAAGTATGTTTTTAAATTGTTGCAAAGTGTTAAATATTAATCGATGTAATATTAATAGTGAATAGATAATCTTAATTTAAATACATTGAAATTTATTAATATGAAATTGTAAGTGATAAGAAATGAATTATAATGTTCGAAATTTTACGAGATTTTTTCAATATTACGTTATTTAAGCTAAATACTTTTTTCTTACCAAAGTATCATGAATATTAAAATATTTATTATAAGCAAGACTGTAATATTTTAAACAATAAGCATATCGATAAAAATATATCTTTAAAAATTTAACAATGGATTCATTTTTTAAGAAAATTAAATATATTTAAAGTATTTTAAATAGGACGTTTTGTGTGTGTGTGCGCGCGCGCGCGTGCGTGTAGAAAATTTATGTAATAAATATTCAAACATTTCAAGTACAATTTATAATTATTTATTATATATAATGAATTATTTTTGTAAAACGACTTAGGAGGACTTATTTATTTATATGCTGTGACTTGGCCTGACAAACATAATATAGCTGCTACATTAGCATAAGCGATATTTTCAATTTCCACGAAATCAGCCGCTGCTTAATGATACTCGCAATTTTACCAACTTTTTAGTCCCTAACTATCAGAGAAATAATAATTTTTACCAAAATCAAATAAAAAAAAAAAAAACAATAATTAATAAAAAAATTATTAAACTCGACTATGTAAAAGGTAATTCATAGATTAAAAAAAAATTATGTTTAATTATATGCAAGTTCAAGTGTGATTTATTTATATTGAAGAACATTTTCATTATATAACCATAGAGTCTATTAGGAAACCGTATAAGTACTTTGTAAAATTATAGGTACAAAAACGATAGGAAATAAATTCATATTCAACTTTTAAGCGTTAATGAACTAAATTTTCGATATTTTGAAATAAAAGAGATATATATGTATTATGGAATCAAATCAATTCTTTAAGATATAAATTATATAATTGTATAAAAACTTTTTATTTTAAAAATTTCAATAACTTGGCAATGCAGTTGCATTAATGCTAAATAAATAAAGGATGGATGATTATAATGTTACTATAAATCCAAATTTAATGCCTCGTGTTTGTAAAAATGATAATACGTATATTAATCCATTATGTTTATTCATCGACTAACTTTTACGTTTGTCTATTAGCTCGAATCGTTGTATGTCATTCGTAGCAATTTAAAAATTGAAATGAGCAAGCTATCGTAAAAAATGCAAAATCGCGGAATCGTATAGCATATATTAATACGATTAAATGTGCACAAATCGATTATATCGTACAAAAAAATTCGCACACTTTCTCGCTTATGTCATATTGGTGTCGACTTTTCGCAAAATCAGAATGTTTCGTATGTACCGAGTCGAGTATAATATGGCAGCTTCGTCTTACGAATATGAGGTGAGGATCTTATTTTTATGAGTGAAGTACAGGAACGAGCACGAATATAACTATCTTGACATTTCCAATACAAGATTTTCAGTACTATTGAAATTTTTCTTTTACGCAATGTGTTGACATGTATAATAAAATTGGAAATGACACTTGCATTAGGTAATCTGTCAGTAGTCATATTAGTCTTTCATACTCAATGGTTGTTTTGTTTTTTTTTGTTTTTTTTTGTTTTTTTTTTTTTGTTATTTTTTGTTTTTTTTTTATATAAGAGATCGTAACTGTAGGTGGAAAATGATTGTAGTCTACCTCCTGTTGATTCTGATTTCAATGTCTTGTCTGTTCTGATTTCAATGTTCTGTATTCAATGTCTTGTATGTTCTGATCGTCAATGCCCTATCGTTTGTCAATGAATTTTACGAGTTAGTATAAATTTAATTTTTGTATGTACCATAT